TGAGTGATTGTTTAATCTTAACAGTACATCCATGCGCTTTTCCGACTAGATATTTTATCACACCCCCTTTCGTCTCCTGTCCCGGCAGGCCAGGCTTGCAGTTCTTAGGACCATCTCCAGGATGCTGGAGGAGAACCAGCTTATCAGACAGAGACTGGCTACTGTCAGCCGGGCCAACTGAGGGAAATGGGCCACAACCAAGAGATACCATCATTGTTTCACCACATCAAAGTTCTTACCGGTAGATTCATTTAGTTCCACGAGCATGGGATGTTAAAAACCATTGTTACAACAAGGCACCAAATAGCCGCCCATCTACATGTATACGTGTGTGTGTGTATATATTTAATTTATATATTTATTCATATATATATATATATATATATATATATGTGTGTGTTTTCCAAAGAACAGTCTTTTACACAGTGTGTTGAATGAATAGTGTTGTTTTATTAAAATAATCCATAGTCACATCAGTGTGCTAAAATTTGTATCCAAAACAGTTTAGTTTTATTCTAAAAATCACAACATTTCATGTTTCATGATGTCGGCAAATTAAGGCTTTTCAGTTCAAATTACAGCATAGTGACTCTGCAGCACATGCTTAAATAGTTGTTCCCCCTCGATAACTGTGGATGGTTAAAACATTATATACACATTAACAGTGTACTACACGCGAGTTGTATGAGATCGAATAGATGTTGACGATACTGATCACCAACCCGTGGCACACCACGTTACAGGGATTACCCCCATGGTATCTCAGATACCACTAAATACCCACCAGAGGGCACCACCTCCTCTCAACCTGATTGTCAGGCCACACGGACGCTCATATTCTCTCATTTTAAACTCACTATCTTTTACAAAGGAATGTCACAATCAGCTTTATAATAACATCAGCATACTAATTTCTGTACCTGTTAATGGTGCATCTTCTTTACTGTAGAATATCACATTTGTCACGATAAAAAATAATAAAATGTTGCGCTTTGATGAGTGAAATAATATTTCAGTTTGGGTTCAGATTGTCCAAACTTAATTTAGACGCATATTTGTTTACAAACGCTGCTCCGTTGTCAGCCGCGGTTCCCATACTTGTTTTAAGAGCGAACAATGCAGATGGACTCATAAGACTTATCTGAGCCAAGTTAACTGTCATTATTCTCTTTTTTCGCCAAAGGCGTCGGCAATCAATGTGTCACCAGAAACCTCTTCTGTATCAGAATGTGCGTCAGTGAATCAGCTTGAGAGCAGCATCTGGCTGTGATTATTTCAACAGGAATATAATTGCTGTTAAAGCATGGGCAATTTACTTGAAATTGTTCTGCAGTTTCTGATTGTTTTGATTGATTAGCCTCATTGCCTCAGTGTTTAGAGGCCAGTTTGTTTTACCCCTTTCTGCCCTAAACACAACATGACACATTCATCACAGTGTTCATTCAAATTCAGAGACGCTTTGTGACTTCAAGTATTTGCTTTGAAATATATCACAACTCTTAATTTTTGTATTTTGTAGCACTTTAGTGTTTATAGGTGCATCATATAGATAACTGACAGCTTTACTGTAATTACTAAGTATTCCTGAGTAACGTAATTATATTGAACTAGTTAAAAGTAAGCTGCTTTCGTTCCACTGGCTTTCAGACAGGTCGTTTGTTTGCTTTGTTCAGGGACAAAGTTGATAGAATTCGGCTCCTTTTGAGATAAACTACCTCGTCTGGAAAGCACGACGAGATCAGACGTCAGCAGCAGAGGGCGCTAACATGAAAGCTGCATCGGCCGCCTTCAAAGAATAAACAGGAAGTCAAAGAAACAGGTGCTTCCTCTTAGACTCGACTTGTAGGCTACTTGTAGTTTGCAGACGTTGTTTCGGATATGCGCTTGTGTTTAAGTATGTGATGATGTTGAAATGTGCGCGCTAAGCGTTGCTAAGCTTTATCATTATCAAGTCGGACACAAGTCTATCCAGCATCATGCGGATGGATTCTGCGACCTGGGTCAATAGGCCGATTTCTCCGATCTCACCGATCTCTGTGGGAGGAATTCCAAAGGCACAAATAGCAGATTTATGGAATCACCGCTGTGTTGTATCACAGGGTACACAGAAAGAACTGGAATATGCATCGGAGCTCTTTATTCTCTAGTCTGTGAGAAAGGAGGCCGTTGAAATGGAGGGAAAACCCCCCCGGCTCCAGTTCAAGGGTCCCACGCCTTAAAAACTTGTGTGACAGGCCTCATGCCCCTAGTTACAGTTGCTATGAAGGATTGGATAGTGGCTGTTCCGAGGCTCCGCTGAGGGTCAATCCCATTCGCCCCTTTTGGTTTATATGCTCCCACGGAAACATTGGAGGGGGGTCCAAAGGTTGTAAAGAAATGTAATTCATGAGCAAGCTGTTCTTCTGCTGGACCTCCTTCCCTTTGTTTTGTTTTTTCTTGCTGTTTCACGTTCAATGACAGTTGCCCTAACAAACCAACAGATGACGAGCTTTTTTTTTTCTTTTTCTTGAGCCCACCTGAGTTTTCATTATAGATCAATGGCGATACTAAACAGGCACGTAAACAACTGATTAATCAACAATGAAGATTGCAGCCTTAATCGCAAAGTTGTCCTGAGAATTATTGCAGATTGTCGCATTTCCAACTCCCCGATGTTCATTTTTTTGGGACTCTAAATATCAGTGTGTTGATGTTTCTGAGTGATAGATAATTGGTTATCATGACTGGATCGGCTCAGTGCGAGAACCCGGTACCACTTTTTGACCAAGTCACATGCATGCTCGGATTTCTTCAGTTTGCATCTTCGCAGCGCATCAGCACTTTCTTTCCTGTTTCCCTGGATGAATTATGGAGACAAACTATCATCATCGCAATTTGTTTAACCGCAATGTGGCAATGGCGCCTCGTGTTTTTATTCAGGCACATAGTCAAGTTAATTTAATTAGGCTCGCTTCCATTGGCCATTGGCAGGAAAGGGAGCATCAGCCGGGCAGCACACACGTGCGACGCCCCTCTCGCTCTGTGCAGACGGGGCTCGTGTTCGCGCGGATCGGCTTCGCACGCAGGAAGCCAAGGCTCTTCCAAGTGTAAAGCAAGTGGAGGATGTGGTTTACTCTCATGTGCTTTACTTTCGGCCCCGGTGTTGTACTGCGCTTATTCCCTGCATCGCTGACAACATTCATTCATCTACAGGCAATAAAGCCCATTGTCTTATTGTCCAATGTCTCATTGTCTTTTTGTCCAATGCTACTTAAACACTCTTTCTTCATGACCCTCTTCCTTCTCGAGTGTTCATACGTGTCTTCGAGGGCCGTACTTACCCTCAATCACTCAATCATATTTTTTCCTTCCTTCCCGTTGGAGGTTTGAGAGTAGAACTGAAACTAAAAACGGTTCGTTACAGCAGGTGATTGGCATATTTAAGACGGTTTCTTTCTCATAGGAAGCACAGTGGACTGACACGTTGGCCACTTCATTGACTTGCGTGTGTTTACAGCAGAGCGGGATCATGCTGTGTGAGCACTTTGCCTCAGATGGAGAGCAACAATGCTGAGGCGCTGGGGAGTGGAGCCCCTGATGCCACTGTAATCCCGCTGATTACAGAGCGCATACAACCACGCCGTGGGCCGATCACAGAGCTGTGGGCAGCACGCTCCTCTCCAGCCACCTCACAGGTGGCCTTTTCAATGCGTGTATGTAACAGAGTCGCGTGGCCGACGAGGAGACGGACACGGCGGCAAGGATAGAAACTCAGGGGGCGGCCTATAGGAGACGGCATGCCACAAGCACGTACATTCTGCATCGGCCGCCGTGCATGTCTTCTTTGCGTCCTTTGCTGGATGAAGACTTAAGGGAACACTTAGTGTGTGAGAGTTATAGTGGCGTCGGGGTGTGTTGCAGATGGCAACCAAGTAAACCCCCCTGCGCTCACCCCTTCCCTTGCATGTCGGGTAGGGATGGTAACCTTTAGGATTTGTTAAGGACCTACTCCTGCCAACACTCTGTTCTTTATGGCAAAATAATTGCATTTAGAGGGTTTAGGTCAGGATGGAGTTGGGTTGTGGGTAAGCGGCAGCCCTCTAAACGCATGCTACAAGGTGCATGCGTGACCTACATTCAAAGAATTTTTGTTATATAGCTTGTTATTATGGGAGTAGCTTGTTGAGTCCATCATGGAGGGTCGATTATTAATTAATATTTATTTAAATAACACAAATGAAATACGACCCTGAGATTTTAGTCCATACTGCGTACGTTTAATATTACCCTTAACCTGTCTGCTCTTCACAATTTTACAATCCATGCCCTTTCTGACTTTTTCTTGTTTTTTTAAAACGCTGCCTTGTCTCATCACATCACTGAGTGGTTGGAGGCTACAGAGCTGCTGCTGTTCGTCTCATGACGTTTCCTAATACTCCAGAGCCCTACAGGTATGAGCTTCAAACAGGCATGAGACGCTGCTGTCTCCTCCAACGGAGCAGAGACTGGGACTAATCGCAGCGGGCGCCACACACCTAACGAAGGTAGCAATTTTCCATCATTAACGTTAAATCCCGCTTTAAAGAACCGGATTCCACAGACCTAATTACAAGGTGTTAATAATAACAATGTAATGACAGTCATTTTAAAGCCTCACCTAAACCATAATCCATTTCCCAACTGAATCTCACATTTAAGTGTACGGTTTCTCTGCACTGCTGCTTGAAATTTGAGGAGCACCCTGTTTCGTATTGATTACCATTGTGATTGCTCCCACAATCTGCGTGTCGGGTCCTGCGAGCTTTTGTCAGGTAGAAATACAGCTCTTCAGATGTCACACTGATTGTTTTCCTCCTGCCCGCTGACCCTACAGAGAGACAGCCGGGGAAATCCACAGGCCTAATTGCAGGGGATTGCTTTACTTTTTGTTTCTTTCTCCAAACAACATCAACCTCATGAAAAGTGCATCTGCATTAATACAGTTGATAAAGCAGTTCTCCTGTGGTTCCAATGGCCTCGGAGCTTCTGGAATAAAATCCGTGTCAGTTATGACTAATCCCATGAGGACAACTCTCAAGAAATCGTCGTCTCTTTTACATAATCACCGCTTCATGAGGCGGGCGTGCTGCTGACCTTTGGGGGCGTGGCGCCACGGGGATCGCGTCCAATCACGAGTCACAACGCGCCTTCCACTCAAATTCCCGAGGAACCTCCCAAACTTTCCTTTCTCCCCCCATGCACAACTTTTTGTCAACTTTTTCAACAACTGACTCCCGAGCCGTGAGAGAAAAGTCATGCGTTCTCTGAATTGGAATTAGACTGCGGGTCCTGGAAAATAAAGAAAGAAGGAAGCATGTCCTCCGCCGGAGACCCGCGAGACGAGGTACCAACGGAGGGGGATGCGCGAGGCGCGCGCGCGGCGCAGGTGCGCTGCTTGCCCTTCAGCGTGGAGGCGCTCATGTCGGACGCGCAGCCGAGCGGTTTGAACGGCGAACAGGCGCGCGGGCCGGACGGCTTCTCTCATCGATCAGTATCGATTATTAAATCGGAACGAGGGGGCTGCGCGTCCCGGGTATCCGGCCCCGTTAAGGTGTCTGCACCACCGAGTAAGTGATCCGGGGTAATGTCTGGATTTGAAGATGTATTGACACAGATTTATTGTTAATAAAGGGTTAGTTGGTGCCTTATATCTCATCTAACATGCTTTGGGGTTAATGCCACGCAAACAAATCTTATATATATATATATATATATATATATATATATATATATATATATATATATATATATATATATATATAAATTAATATGTAAATTTTAAATAGCATACACACTATTTAATAATATATGATATTTAAAAAAAATAAAATTTTCAGGTATTTTATTGCTGTTCACTTTTGTCTATTTACAGTTGCACATAATGATTTAATATATATTGGGTTAAAATCGGATTTTTTATATGAATTTGGTCTAAAAGAATAAGTGATTAAAAGGTAAATGAGGTAAAGTGATAATTATCTGTCTTAAGTTAATAATAATAATAGCCTTTCACTCTTTAGTTAATTAATTACTAAAGTAAGAAGACAACTAATTGAAGACAGGACCGCCCTCATTCAGTTATTTCAATTTTAGAACAATGAAACCGTAAACCTGACTCTGAATTCCAACCTCACGTCTCGCCCGTGTCCTCCAGGGCAGCTCAGCCCGGCGGCCTGCGCCTTGAGGAAGCACAAGACAAACCGCAAGCCTCGCACTCCCTTCAGCACCACGCAGCTCCTGGCCCTGGAGAGGAAGTTTCACCAGAAGCAGTACCTGTCCATCGCCGAGCGGGCCGAGTTCTCCTCCTCTCTGTTGCTGTCTGAGACCCAGGTCAAGATCTGGTTCCAAAACCGGCGGGCTAAAGCCAAGAGGCTTCAGGAGGCTGAGGTGGAGAAACTCAAAATAGCGTCCGGCGTTGGTCCCAAAGCTGTGTTCCAGCCCGGCTTCCCGTCTTTAGGTTTCCCCCTGGGTCTCAACCTGCATGCCGGCTCGGCGGCGCTGTACGGACTGGGCTGCTCATACGGGCGCAGCCCCATTCTCCCTGCAGTGCACCTGGCCATGTGGGCCTCACAGGGCGGCCACGGCCTGTTCCAGCCAGCACAGAGGCACGCGGACGTGTTAAAAACAGAAGGACGAGGTTGTGTCGTGAAGTCGTCCAGCGGATCAGAGACTTTGTTAAGGACCGTAGGTGGACCACAGGCTTTATGATCTCAAATGGTCGGTCTTTGTTAATATCCTTTTCAGAATGCAGAATCTTGAAGATCCCATTTTGGCTGTTTGTCTCTGCTGATTCAGCATTCACCTGTAAACTAGGCCACACGTATGACTATTGTCCTGAATAGCAGATCGCATGTGTCCTAGCTATTTATTTGCCTTTCCTACTCTTGTTGTATTCCCATGATGATTGCAGCATTGGGAAGCAACCAAAAAACTCACTTGTTAGCCTTGATGATGCAGGAATATTTGACATCATCCTCATAGTAGGTTTATCAGAGAATGACCTTTTGGCCTGGGGAAGCGCAGACTTCTTTAAAAGTCAAAGCATTCCCAATGACATATTTATTCACAGCAGTCCTTAAATTAATATATATCCTGATGAATATCTACATCATCATGTTATGTGTTTGACATCACATTAAAGCTTTTAGTTAACCTTCTGTTTGGTCCTCTTGTTGATCTCCACAACTGGTGAGCGAACTCAAGACCGGCTCAAGTGCAGTCGCGTAGTGACACACAGCCGTTAAGGCGCGCCTCAGCTCTCCAGTTCTTCTGCTTGTGACTTCCTGCTGCCTCCTCCTGTGCCCGCCACATCCGGCACGATCGTCTGGTTGTTATTAGCTGTGTTTCTTCCACAAATGCCCGGAGCAGTTAAAAAAAACACCACACAGATCTCTCCGAGCTCAACCAGATTTATTTTTTGGAAGACCTTTGGCATTATTTCCCCATCTTAATATCGTACGTTTTTCACTGGAGACATTTTGACTTGAGAAAAGATTAAACTAAATAACTTATTAAGCCATGACGGTGTTATATGTCAAGATGTGTTAGCCTGCTGGATTTCTAACTTGTAATCATAAATGCTTTAGTTCTGTCCTGGAGAGAAACATAATGCATGCTTCTTTTCTTCTTCCTTCCTAGTTCCTGAATTTTAGATTTTGGATTGTACTAATTCATAAAATAATTTGTCTTGTGCATTATGTACGCTGACTATACAGCGATGAGTCCATTCGATAGCACTGCATCATTTGGGCTTTTCAATCAGGGTTGAAAATGGTAAAGCGTTAAATCCTAATTTTGCGGTCATTTTACCAAACAGTGATGTAGATGGATGCAGGGGAGAACGGGGGATTTGGGTCACCAGGGGGCGCGCTCTAGATGCACCTGGCATCCGAAAATATGAACGCAGAATGGATGAGGATACACTTTACTGCGATTAGCCACGCTGAAGAAACGCGCGCAGAGCCGTGGGCTCTAACACTGATAAGTTATTGAGCCAAATCTGAACAGAGAAAGCGTATTTTTTTGTCAGATATTACACAATGTTTAGAGAAAAACAACCTAAACCAGGTATCAGTGTTGACGTAGTTTAAGGTCTATTCAAAACTTCCAATGGAGTCTCTGTTCACGCTAATCAAGGAATCTTTTTAAAGTAAGGAAGTTGTACACATGGACAAAAGCCCATTAGTGAAACCGCTGACCTACTCAGTTTACTAATCTGCCCGTAACGCTTTACATGTTGTTTTTCTGTACGGTCGCCTGCACTTCATAAGTATGAGTACGTTAGGCTCCACTGTATCTATTGGGTGGGCGGCCGTTCCACTGGGTGGCCCGAGTGGGGAGGTGTTGCGGCCTCAAATGAATATGTATCCAGCAAAACGTCCTCTAAAGACGTGAAATTACGTCTGCAAAACCGATTGTATTCTGCAAATAGCACACCTCACATTGTCCTAATTGCAAACATGTGTTTTCACATTGCTCTTGGACACCACAGAGGTGGAGATTTATTTTATGTGTAATTTTAAACTGCATACTTTTAAATGAACTTTGTCTCTCTGTGAAGTGTGTAACAGCATTGTGGCGGGCTGTCCCTGCAGTCCCTGGTTTAATTGTCCTTGTCCCTAAATTCTGACTCCAATGCTGTGTGAGATTATATGTGGAGACTTGGTGATAACAGCACAGGGCATTATATGGTCGCTCCCACTGTAAACTAGGGAAAAGCTTGTTACCATTAGCACATATTTCACAGTCCATTTGCTTCCCTCCATTTTGAAATTAGAGCCGACATTAAGCTGATAGTGAGGTCTTTAATGGCTTTGATTGCCCAATAACCCCCCAGACTCGAGTTTCAGATGTTTCCAAAGTGAAACCTTTGTGGAGGAAATGGTCGAGGCCTAAAGTGGAGCAGCTGGCCCTGAGAAAAAAAGGAGCAGTTGAGTCAAAATGATTACAAAAACACAAAATAGTCACGTACATCTGAAAATATGCATTGAGAAGACATTGGAGGGAGATAATTTGAGTATAAGACACAAGAGGAATAGTCAATGGGGGTGATGCAATAAGTACATCCTAAGAGAGGAAAAGGTCTGGAACAGTTCATAGAAACTTATGGATAAATTCAGATCATTTAAGCCTATCCTAACACAATACTCACATGCCTGTATGTAAATTGGAAAGAATTCTGGTAAAAAATACTGCTCTCCATGGCCTTATAACAGATTCCTTCCTAACTCAATTCCAGTTCAGAGGGTTGGGGAAAAAATCTTAAATTGTGTTTGAAATACAAACACATACTACAAACACACATATATATAAATATATATATATATATATATATATATATATATATATATATATATATATATATATATATATATATATATATATATATATATATATATATATATGTATATATGTGTGTGTATATATATATGTGTGTTTGTAGTATGTGTTTGTATATATGTATATATATATATTTCGGCTGCGTTATATATATTGTTATAGCAAAAAGACAGTGGATTGTGCCCTTTGTTTCTTACACTATAATTGCTGTAGGAGGCGATCTTCTCAGACCTGGTACCGATGGACAGCAGCATCACTGGCAGCAAATTGCCAGAAGAAACTTGAAACTTTCCTTAAAAGGTCATTTTTTTGCGTTTGCTTTTCATCATAACTAAATTGATACTGTTAAGATTCTTGCATTGTCTTTACCATTGCTCCTACCCTGAAGTTCTTGCAGTTTCGTCTCGCATCCACTAGGTGTCGGTGTTGCTTTTCCATCTGTTTCCAAAAAGGCTTCGCAGTCTTGACCGCTTTCATACTGACAACAGACTTTTTCTTGGCATTTAAAAAGATATCTCAGAGCATGCGAGGCAACATCATATCATCCTAGATACATATTTACATGTTATCTAACCTGCAACTAAACAGGCTGTTAGATGATGTCTGTTTAATTCATCATGAGGGCTTGTGTGAATAAAAGATGAAACTCTTATGCGTTGTTAGTTGTGATGCTGGCAAATGGCACGAGGATGGGAATCTCTAGATGTCAGACGTGCAGGGACTGAAACATTTGGGTCCTTACACATGCATCATTGCAAAACAGAACCGGGTGCTCTGCTCAGATTGCGAACAGAATGGCATCTGACAGAGAGAGAGCACAGTGAAAGCTGCTCGGTTCCACCTCTGTTTGTCGTGATGAAAGCAGAAATTCACAGTGAAACGCAGCCGTTTAATTACTTCTATCACGCAGCTTCTTAATTAAATGTGACTGCAAACAATTTATGACCGTTAAATCTGTTCCAGCAATGGCAGGGACATTGTGTTAGAGGAAAAGGAAGAGCAAATTTGGGGTTTTCTCACTGCCCCTTTCCTCTCCTGTCCCAGCCTGTTAGGCAAAACTGAGATTCGGAGGAAGATTTCACCATCTCGCTGCACGCAGGAGCAAGACTCACATGCAGTGTGCGCTTCATCGCACAGCAGCGACACACACAGATTTGAGGCTTGCTTCCCACAAGGGTGGCAGTGCTGTGAGATATAACAAATAAAAGAAGGGATGAGGAAGATTGAGTGATTTTATTTTTTCTTTTTTCACCCCCAAACCCCTCACAGCACAGAGGAGTAAAAAATTGACATTTGTGTTGTTCGAAGTGCTGTAATTAGAGGACATGCTTTCATCCAGTCTTCAAAGGTAGGGAGCAGGTGTGCTTCCCCGAACAATCCCCGCTCTATGAACCGTCTTTTTTTTTTTTTCATGTGTGTGTATATGTGTGTGTTGATTCTCAGTTTGTACCTTATATCTCTAAACACATTTCTCCCTCTGTCTCCCTATATTTTAACAACACCTTATAATAATAAAGTTGGCCCATTAGCAAACAATGGTATAATTACGCACCCAGTCGACCCTCACGACTCTGCCATTAAGTCAATTTGTGTGCTGCTGAACATAAAATGTCAAAGGTTTGCACTGCCCGGACCGAGGAGACAACAGTTCAGCCACGAGGTGACGGATTCCTCACTGGGAGGAGATCCCCACAAAAACACGCATGCTCAAACATCCCGACAGAGGCCGACCTCGTCCTCAGAGTAATCCCACCTCCAGCAGTTTCTGTCTTTTGTCTCGTTCTTTCAACCGCGTTTCAAGAGAGGATTCCCTCAGTCGGGTCGCGGCCGAACGACGTGACCCATTTAAACATAAAGACACACCTTAAAAGCTTCGCCTTTGAGGTTATCAGACCGAAAGCTTTCTCTGTGGTTATGCTTTTTGTTGTTTTTTCTATTTGACGATCTGGGTCACCGACGGCAACCACGGGGAAGAAGTCATCACAGAAATGAGAACAATATACTCCAGGATATTATTCTTTTTTTTCTCCATTATTTGAAACACTCCACAACGCCCTCTCACCTTGTGTGTGTTTCTGTCTCCTTCTCTAACGCTCAGCCCCTGTGGATTTTTCTTTTTTTTTAATAACCCATGGTGTTGTTGTAGGGAAACTGCTCTCACCCCTCACAAAGCAGCAGCAGCCGAGTATTGTGCGAGCCGCCCTGATTGTTTTTGTGTCTGTCCCCGTTCAGCCCCGCTGCTCTTTTGAAGGCCCGAGTTGAGCACGTCGGCCCCCAACAAGACTGCAGACTTCTGAGACCAAAGAGCTCCGTCAAGTTACAAAGTCACTGTTTACGGTTACATACGGCACATACTGTCCTCTTCGTACCACAGATTTAACAAATGGATCAATGCCAGGGGGCGAACCCTTTTCCCGAGAGGACACACCAATGTCATTAGAGTCTCGCAGTGACATCCTTACATTTCCCCTTGGGAGGTTTGCGTTCCCTTGTTTGAGCCTCTTACAGAGCGCTGCCATCTGTAGCCTCCACCATTGTCTCCGCGCGAATCTGTGCGCCGGCTCGGTCTCTTGAGATCACATGAGTCATCAATGTCCCCCCGTGGCTTCCATTGTACTGAAGGAGATCCAGACCTCCAACACTTTCTGGTAACTTTATAACACACTTGCCGACATTAGATATTCACCAATATACTCCTGAGGAAGAATTCACGCTGAGGCCTGCAATGTGGATTAAATTCCACAAATATACTAAACACTGAAATCTGAGCCGTGGGAAACGGAGAGAGGATGTGTCGTAACTCTCGGCAGAGCTCAGT